GTTCAGTTACATCTGCTGAGTAAAATGACACCCCCATTGTATGTCTTTTGCACTATTTCGTGAAGTTACAGTGCCATACAGGATACCTGTCCTTTTCAGTATTCACAGTAGAATTTTGAGATGGATTTAATGAGCCTTAGCTTCCATTTTGGGGTATTATAACAGTTTGACTGTTCAAAAAACCCCCACAAAGGCCTACCATTTGTAAAAGTAGACACTCCAGGGTATCTCATAAGGTGCATATTGTGCCTTAACATGCCCCCATTTTTTCACCAATATATGCCAAAGTATGTGGTAAAAATAATTTTGTGCATTTTTTACATACGGATTGCATTTTTGCTGGGCGTTTTGTATATTTCATATGTGCCACTAAGTTCAAACCTCCCAAATTATGCTCAGCTAAGTCTTTTTAGTAAAAATACACCCCCAATGAATGTCTTTGGCACTATTTTGTGAAGCTACAGTGCCATATAGGAGACCAAGCCATATCCGTTTTTACCAAACTTTGAATTTTGACGCTGGGCCTATGTGCAATTTCCAAGCATCTTCGCAGGTTTTAAATTCAATCTACCCCAAAAAGGCCTACCATTTCTTAAGGTAGACACCCCAGGGTGTTTCAAAAGGTATAGTTTGAACCTTAGCGTGGGATCATTTTTCCGCTAGCTTGTACCAGATGTAGTGGTAATAAGCGTTTTTTCTGCCTTTTTGACATACAAAAGTGAGTTTGCACAGTATATTTTGCAAACCTTATGTGTGCTACGACTGTATAATACTTCATATGTTGCTCAGCTATGTCGGCTGAGTACAGCAATACCCCCGTATGTACCTTTGCCAGGTATGTGTGGACATCGGAGGGGCACATTTGGGACACAGCCATTCCAGTTTTTTTCAAACTTTGATTTTTTATGCTGTGCCTATGTCCCATTTTAGAGTATTTTACCAGGCTATATAATCCAAATTCCCCATAAAGCCATACCATTTCTTAAAGAAGACATCCCAGGGTATTTCAAAAGGCATATCTTGAACCTTAGCGTGGGATCATTTTTCCGCTAGCTTGTACCAAGTGTAGTGGTAATAAGCATTTTTTCTGCCTTTTTGACATACAAAGTGAGTTTGCGCAGCATATTTTGCAAACCTTATGTGTGCAATGACTGTATAATACTTCATATGTTGCTCAGCTATGTCGGCTGAGTACAGCAATACCCCCGTATGTACCTTTGCCAGGTATATGTGGATGTTGAAGGGGCGCATTTGAGACGCAGCCAGTTTTTTTCTAACTTTGAAGTTTTACGCTGTGTCCATGTTTCAATTTGGAGTAGTTTAGATGGTTGGTTATTGAAACTTCCCCACAAACACATACTATTTATTAAAGAATACACCCTGGGGTAATTCAAAGGGCATATTTTGAACCTTGGCGTGGGATAATTTTTTCTCTAGTTTGTTCCAGGTGTAGTGGTAATGAGCGTTTTTAAAATGTATTTTTTTACTTTTTATAACTTTTTACTTTTAAAAACTAGTTTTTAAACTTTTGTTTTGCTTATAAAAATTTTTTATAAACTTTCTTAAAACTTTTTTACAGATTTAACATTTTTTCTAAGCTTTTTTTTTACCATTAACCCCTAACTAGCAGTACGCAGCACTAACAGTAAATTCCCCATTTTCCCATAACTCCCACCCACCCCAGCTAGCAAAATATATAGTTATAAAATATTTAAATTAATTAATTAAATAAATTGAACCCCTGAGGGTTAAATAAATAAATAAAAGTTAATCCTCAGGGGTTAAAAAAAATTAGATCACAGTATAATACTGTGATCTCTATTTGATCGCTGTAGGCAGTGATCGACTGGCAGGGAAGGGGTTAATTTTTATTTGGACTAGGTAAAGTGTGGTTTTTTTGTTTTTTTTACTTAAATGTTATTAAAACATTTTTTTAAGCTTAATTTTTAACTTTTTAAAGTTTCTTTTAAAACTTTTTTTAACGTTAACCCCTAGTTAGCCTAACGCCAAATCCCCCAATTCCCCACTAACTTCCACCTACCCCAGCTAGCTAAATATATAATTAAAAAATAATTTAATTGATTAATTTAATTAATTTACCCCCTGAGGGTTAAAAAAAAGAATTAACCCTCAGGGGTTAAAAAAAAAATCAGATCATAGTAAAATGTAATCCCTGCCAATTGATCACTGTAGTCAGTGATCAATTGGCAGGGAAGGGGTTAATTTTTTATTAAAATGGGTAAGGGGGGGGACTTTAAATAAACTTTATTTTTTTAAACAGCAGGGGGCAGGATCAGCACTGATCCGGCTCCCTGCACTTCACACAGAACCCGGAAGTGCAGGGAGCCGGTAGGTGAGTATACTTGCGGTCAGAGCGAGCACATGTGCTGGGCAGCCTGACCGGGTGCTCCCGGTATGCCTCTAATACAGAGGCATACCAGGAGCACCATTAACCCCGCGATCGCCGCGATAGTGGCGATCCGGGGTTAATTTTACCGCGTGACGGACGAGGTCCGTCACCCGTCGTTAAGGGTCTCCCCTCTGTGACGGACCTCGTCCGTCACCCGTCCTGAAGGGGTTAACTGCATATTAATAAATACCTGCAAATGTTCACATTTGTCCTGAAAAGAATAAAACTTAGATTTAGGTTTCAAATTGGTATGTAAAAAAGGATCTTCCTTACCCACAGTCTCTTTAATAGTTGGTAATTGTCTTTTTAAAAAATGTATCTTTATAGTCTCTTGTAATTGCATCATTCTTTTCCTTTTTCTGAGGAATTGTAGGGGCCAAAAGCAATTGGCTTGCTGTATGGAGCCCCTCATGGGGGATGGATAATGATCTATGGTTCCCTGTCTAAAAACCTATTTTATCTGTTGTTCTAAGTAATATTATTTTGATCCATTATTTGGTCTGAATATGGGTGTCATGGGTGTTTTGAAACTCGGCTTCTGATTACAGGGTCTGTTAAACTCTTCCATTTCTTTTTCACATTGTTTAATTTGTGCTTGTTGGAAGTCTACCAGCATCATAAGTAATTCCCTTGAACATCTGTCCAGAATTCCATTCCATTTGGCACAAAATCCTCACAGTTCAGACCGATTGCAGGGTCCTTATTTATTCTAAGCCCTTTTGGCACCATTCATAATTTAAGTTATTGTTCTAAAAAGACAACCTCCCACCATCTTTTAAATTTTTAACTGCTGCTTTCTTTAACTTAAGGAAAGGTTATCAGGTACTGAAGTGTTTATATGTTTGTAAATGTAAAGCACTTTCTATTTTTATACCTGTGTTTAAAGGTTTAACACTACATATATGTTTACTTTTGTGCTTGTTAAGTTATTTAAGATTATGAAGATTTGCAATTTCATCATCTACTGATTTCTGTGTTTGCTAAGATGGGTGTATGAAGACCAAAGAGTTTTCACACTAAAAAAAATTTCAATTGGCAATTCTGTATTTACATGTGTATATGTGAGGAAAGCAGAGGGAATAGGATGTTGTAAGTGGAAGAAACTCAGTATTTAAATCTTTATTCTCCAACCACAAATTGTCTTGCTTGTCAATTAACGTGGAAGGAAGATCGATAGTTAACGTCGCAATCTGAGACAATGTGTTCTCATGAGCTACAAGGGGGATTTTTTAAAGAAAATACCACAATTCCTTTATTTAGGTCCTGTAATGTATCTACAGCTTGATCAAGGATTATGTTTATTAATTTTAAGTTGACAACCTTATCCTGTAAGAATCCGACAGGGTGAGCCGCTTTCTGTGCCTGTGTATGATAAACCTCAATGTGAAATTGCAGTATTTTAGTTAAGGAGACTTGCACTTGACTTGCACTTGACTTGCACTTTAAAAACTCATTTTTAATTGTTAAATCATTTGAAGAGACAATAAAAGCATATTTATTAACATGTGCACTCCCAGCAACACGTGACACGCTATGCCTTCTGGCATACCCAGAATGACATATACATGTGAACTGCCTCTATTACAAAAAATGTCAAATAACTTTATTTATAAAACACAATGTTTACAAATTTACAGTTTGGTTTTTGATTTCCACTATATGTAAGTCGTTATTTGACAGATTATTTAGGTGAAGAGAGATAAAATAAGTGGGTGGGGGGATATTATTCAAGGCCAATATTAACCCCTTAAGGACCAAACCTCTGGAATAAAAGGGAATCATGACATGTCACACATATCATGTGTCCTTAAGGGGTTAATTGCAATATTTCATAATTAATTATGCAGAAAGGGGGATTTGTATTGTAAATAAATGTATAGATGTACTAGAATAAGGGTAGAACATTAACTCTGTGGGGGATTAAAAGATCCATCCAAGGGAGATAATACCTTGTATATTATTAGGAAAGGGGAAATTGCAAAGAAGATCTCTAAATTAAAGAGAGAATGGATATAATAGATCAAATTTAGTACACTAATTTATGTACCCCACTTAATTGTTCATAGTGTCTTAGAATCTAATAGCATAGATGTTACACTGTAAACCAGTTTCAACCATAAGAATTATATATCAACTTATTGATACTTTATTGAAGTTCTTTGAAGTACATAAATGGAATCTTATATACAGACATGAAATAACCCCTCATTACAGGTAATTAGAGGTCCACACATTACCCCACTCAGTATTTAAGGTCAAATTTTATATAGAAGCATACTCACCAGCGGTGTCATGTATAAAAAATGTATGTGATGTCCTTTAGTGGGGACCCCGTCTCCTGTCGAGTAGCGGACCGTACATGGTCACCATGTAAGATTGCAAATAAGGCCTCAAATCTCTAGCTTCTCATCTTTCTTTGCTGTTCCTGCTGTGCAAAGGTCAGAGTACTTTATGCTCTTGTGACTTTTCATTTTGTTTTATTGCTCTTATGTTATTACTGTTTTTTGTGTCCCCTGACTACCCTCACCTGTCTGCCCCTGGACTTCTTTGCTTAGTTCTGTCATACCCTGGGTCTATCCCCACTACAGACCTGAGCTTTCTGGTTCTTCTGGCCTATTCCTCTTTGCTTGTACATTGCTTCCATTCTTCTTGAGACCTTATTTGAATTGGTTTGTATGGTGTACTGCAGTTGGTTGGGCACGAGCACACTGCATTTTATCCGGGTGCAGGCCTCACTGGCCATTTGCACCCGAATGGTAGTCATCTTGTATCTCACAAGACCCACAAGATTTATTGTGGCCATCTTTGTTTTTCTTACAGATCGTGATTCACACTGGATTTGTGACAAGTGTTATTTCAAGTGTTTGTAGAAATCACTTGTTTTGCCCTAATAGGCAAATGGTCCTTGGAAGGGACAAAACACTTTGGACTGCTGTTTAACTTGTTCTTAACTTCTTGACTCTTCTCTATTTATTTACTTGTTCTGGCTATTTTCAACCAATCTGCACCTTTCATTATCAGGCGCATCTTCTGATATTTATGACACACCCTTCACCCTTCTCCCCTTCTCTAACAACATCAGTTTTAAGTTTTAAACTCCATCATGTTGATCAGTACTTCTTCAGACCTGAGGAAGAAAGGAAAACTCTTGAAAGCTGTATTTTAAGTATATTGTTAGTACAATAAAAAAGGTATCATTGCATACTGATGTAAAACTTTAGTGGGTCCAAGTAAATATGCTATAATAAATTGAACAGGGCAGCTTTACACAGTAAGCGAGCGACTTGTGAAAAAAAAGTTTATCAAAAAAATTGTATCAAATGCAAAAATACTGTGAGCACTCCTATGATCAAATCTAATAAACAATCAATATGATCAGTATGATAAAGAAATCTTTAATAAAAAACAATTAAGCCACAATCCACCCTAAAAAGACAAAAATTGAAATCACCCCAAGAAATCTGTAGCTGTAATGCTGTAAAAGAAACAACTAGAGCCCAGATATAACAAGGGAGAAACAATAGCAAAAGGATTATCAAGCAAAATATATCTATGTGCAACCTTAAGATATGATCAGCACACTGAAATAGGATAAAGGAAATATCCTACAAATAAAAATAGTAAAAAATAGACAAAAATGTTACTTGTCCGTGTGGGGGGCCCCTTCCACACAAACATAAAGAAACGTAGGTATGAAGTCCCGAAGATCCGATGCCCAGTGAGCTGGACCCCTTAGTAGGTGGAGACAGATGTCAATGATTCCCACAATACCACGTTGAGTTGCCCAGATGGATGAACGCTTGTGAGAAAGTCGATGGATCAACTGGCAAGGAGGGGGGAGCACCACAAACTGGAATCTCGTGCTGAGCTGCGACCCCGTAACTTAAAAAAAGGCTGTGGCTACCTTAAAGGAGTATATTGTAAATTTGGCTGTAAGCCAACTAGGTAGACTGGGTGTCTATGTGTTTCGTCTCTTAAAGACTTTGTCAAGACATGGGTCAACCACTAGTTCAAGCTCTTAAATACCCTTTGAAGTGGGTACTTAAAGGTTCAATAAAAAAACATGGCATGGAATATAAAACGAGTGAAACGATACTAACTTCATTACTAGCCTAATTAAATAAATGGATAAATCATACACATTAAAATTACTATAAAGCATATCAAATAAATGTAATACTTGCCTAACTAAATAGATAAATAATGCATAGTTAAGATAAAGAGAATGTGAAGTATATAAAATAAAACCAATAAATATTGTCTAAATTACTTATTTAATCCAAGGAATAACAACATAATTCATAGATATGTGTTAATCCTCATAAAATTGAATTTGATGATACACTATGAGTACTTGGCATATGAAGGATTTTATATAAAACAGAAAATATATATTTTTTTTTTTTTTTTAGGGTAGAGTTTTGGTGGTAAAGTTTTATACACACTCTTTTCACATTTGATATCATTTCATATTGCAATACTCTGGTGTGTTGGCATCTTGTCTACTGGATTAATATGGCTATATACACCCATAAGGATAGATACATAGGGACAACTAGTTATAAAAACTAATGAAAATATATTAATAAATATATTAAAATATTAATTATGGATAAACTTATAATATTGTATGGATACATGTAAACAATTAATTACACTCATAAAGATACAAAAGTAAGGCATATACATCCTTTTCTCATTGGAAAAAGTGCAAAAGTGCAGTGTATATATAGTGCAAAGGATCCCTAATCTATAAAACTCCAAAAGTATATACCAGTATTCAGCCCACTAGGTTGTAAAGGTTTTAGCTTATTAATTCAAAAGGTTTCTCTTTGTGCAAGTTGTTTTTAATCGTATCTCCTCCACGCCAATGATTTTCAATCTATTCTATACCTATATAGAGGAAATTATTCCAATTAAATTGTTGGCACCTGTTTCCATGTATTGGAAATATGTTTTCTAAAATGTTTCTAATTGTATGCCTAATGTTCAAATAGTCTTTCTTTTAATTTTCTACAAGGTCTCCCCACGTACTGTATGTAACAGGGGTATTGCAACAGGTAAACCACATATTTAGAATTACAATTTAACTTAGATTTTAAGGAGAAACTTTCCTTTGTGGCTACTCTATTAAATTATTTTGCTTTTAGTAATTTTTGGGTACTACAGACTTTGCACATATTACATAAAAAAAACCTTTTGTTTTGGATAAAATACTTTTTGTTTTGGTTCAATTACATAACTTAAAATAACATATTTTTTTAATGTACATTTTTTTTAAAATTGCTGGTGCAATGTTTAGTTCAAATGTTTTTAGTTTGTTGGTGCTGTGTACTTGTAATAAAAGCAAAGTAAAACAATTTATAATAAAAGCATAATAAAAATCATTACTTGTTTCTTCTATTTTCCCTTTCATTCATTACTTTCTGTTCTTAGCTTCAATTAGTATAATCTCTTTGTTTAATAGGACTGGATCATATTTTTTGGCATATAAATTTCTTCTTTACATGTTGTGCTTGCATGTTATACTGAACCAAAACCCAGATATTTTAATGGCCATTTTTGTATGTAAACAACTATTACCTTCTACTTCCTTACAATTACATTTTAAATGGACAATATTGTTTTCAACATAAAAAGTAATATCCAAGAAATCTATTATAGTAGAATCTAATTTAGATTTAAATTTGAGACCATAATCATTTGTATTTATGTAATTCATAATAAAAAAATAAAGCTATTATAAAAACAACAGAATCAATAAGATTCTTACGAATAAACTTCGTAGTAGAAACAAAACATTTAAGATTCATAAATTGCTTCTAGATAACAAGGTTCTTTTAGATCCTTCCAAAATATCAGAAACTCTTGAAAAGTTCTATAGTTCGCTCTATAACTTAAAGTCTAATCAAACATCTAAATTTCATATTAAATAATTTTTGAATAAAATCAAACTCCCTAAACTGACGGATGAAAAATAGTTTTCTTTGAATCATCCATGTACATTAAATGAAGTTAAGAAAGTGATCCGTGTCTTAGTAGATGGGAAATTCCTGGGCCCCGATGGCTATACATCTATTTTTTACAAAATCAAGGACCCGCTGATCGCCCCTCTCCTGGTTAGGACCTTTAATTGCCTGGGAGAAACTGGATATTTTCCAGCTGAATTTTTGCAAGTCACTATTCTTCTAATCCCTAAGCCAGGGAAAGATTCAACTATTATTTCTAATTATAGGCCCATATCTCTTACCAATATTGATATTAAGATATACTCTAAAGTGTTGGTGGATAGACTTAAAACCAGATCAATCTGGTTTTATAACAGGAAGAGCAGGGGAAGATAACACTCGCAAATTGATTAACTTGATCTCCATGAATGTGTATAAAGCCCTCCCGATGGCCTTTTTAGATTTAGATGCCGAGAAGGCCTTTGATAGGGTGAACTGGGCCTTCTTAGCAGAAACATTTGATGCCTTTGGATTTTACGTTTTTTTTTTTTTTTTTTAGATTTTGCCTAAGCATTATTTAGCAATCCTAGTGCAAGAGTTATAGGCTCATCAGAATGACATCTATTTTTAACATATCCAATGCTACTAGGCAAGGATGCCCATTGGCTCCCCTATCATAAGCCCTTTAAATTGAACCTTTAGCCACTCTGATTAGAACTATGGAGGAGATCAAGGGAATTGAAATTAACAAGCATGAATTTAAATTTATATTATATGTCGATGATATCTTGCTCACATTGAATTCCTTTGAAGTAATTAATGAATATAGTCTTTATTCCAACTATAAGTTAAACTTACCTAAAACATGACCTATAATTCAGGGATTAACCGCAGACCAGAAAATTGAATTGCAACAAAATTTTAATTCAACCCCTTAACGATGCGTGACGGACAAGGTCCGTCACTCGGGGGATTGCCATAACGACGAGTGACGGACCTTGTCCATCACGCGTTAAAATGAACCACAGATCGTCGCAATCACAGCGCTCGCGAGGTTAATGGTGCTAATACAGAGGCAGACCGGGAGCACCCGATAGTGCTGCCCCAGCACATGTGCTCGCTCTGACATACTGTCAGAGCGAGCACATGTGCTCAGTATACTTACCTTCCACCTCCCTGCACTTCCTGGTTCTGTGTGAAGTGCAGGGAGCCGGAACAGTGCTGATCCTGCCCCCTGTTAAAAAAAATAGTTTACTTAAAATCCCACCCCCTTTTACCCATTTTAATAAAAAATTAACCCCTTCCCTGCCAATTGATCACTGACTACAGTGATGAATTGACAGGGATTACATTTTACTGTCATCTGATTTTTTTTTTAACCCCTGATGGTTAATTCTTTTTTTAACCCTCAGGGGTTAAATTTATTTGATTAATTAATTTAAATATTTTAAAATTATATATTTAGCTAGCTGGGGTGGGTGGAAGTTAGTGGGGAATTGAGGGATTTGGTGTTAGGCTAACTATGGGTTAACATTAAAAAAAAGTTTTAAAATTAACTTTAAAAAGTTAAAAATTAAGCTTTTTTTTAAAATAACGTTTAAGAAAAAAATAAAAAACACCCCCCTTTACCCAGTCCAAATAAAAATTAACACCTTCCCTGCCAGTCGATCACTGGACCTGAGGATTAACTTTGATTTATTTTTTAACCCTCAGGGGTTCAATTTATTTAATTAATTTAAATATTTTATAATTATATATTTTGCTAGCTGGGGTGGGTGGGAGTTATGGGAAAATGGGGAATTTACTGATAGTGCTG